GAGTGTGTTTTTGCTCCCCCCCACCCCCTTAGCGCGTGGGGGGCTACTTTTTTTTTTTTTTTTTGCGATCTTGAGCCAAACGGATCCTTTCCAGGACCTGGACCACTTTTTTTAACTCATCCGAGCGCTTTCTTATTATTATTTTTCCCACCAGGAGCGGAGCAGAGAATGTGTGTGTTATTCCCATTTTAATTTTCAAGGCTTCTTTCTCCTACCCTTTCCATCTCTAGCCAATCCGTACTGGATCCAGATTTGGATCACCTTGATTTTGAAGAAAAGGGAGCCCCCCCCCCTTCTAATTTTTAAACCGTTTCCAAACTTTTTAAAAACTCCCCTCCCCCTTGCGTATCTCGTCTTCTGTCCCCTTTTCGCTTCCCACCCCCCCTCCGGAGGGGGGGGGAAAGTTTTTGCATTAAACGCAGCTCCGGGATCCCTCTCGGCAGCATCCTTTGCGGGGGTTGCGCTCTTCCCTTGATTCCAAAGGACGTGGCCGAGAAGGGAAAACTCCCCAAACTTTTTTCCTCTTACCGGGAGAAGGAAATCTTTCCGGGAGGCAGGAGACAGAAACACCGCGAGTGACTCTTGTAATGTAAGGAGGGCGGGTGGATGGGGGGGGGGTCTCATCCCTCTTCTTCTTTTATTTGCCCGGGGTGGGGGCTTCCTCGCTTTTTTGTCTCCCCCCCCTCCAAAAGCACCCCCAAACCTTGGGGCTCTCTTTGCTGGGGAGGGAGCGAGCGAGATGGTAATCAACCCGGGACCTTTTGTGGCTTGACCTCCAGCCATCTTTGATTTCCGACTTCCTAAAATAACTCCGGTGAGCTAATATGGTGTGTTGGGGGGTGGGGTGGGGAGAGGCGATCGTCTTAAAATATTTCCCAAACACGCCGCTGGCTTCTCTCCCCTTCCAGCTGCTGCTGTTGCATGACTTTTGTTGTTGCTGTTTTTTCTCTTCTCCCCCCCCCCCCCCCAAACCCTTTGGTGGCAGACGGTGCACATATTTCCTGGAGTAAGAGACCTTCCTGGACACAGCTTGCAGTTTGGACGGGGATGAGGCTAGCATAGTAGAATAATTCATACAGAGATGCAACAGGCAACCTCTCGAGGGGGGGGCAATACTGCTGGAAGTTTGAATGAAATGGCTGTCCAGGGGGTCAGATCGGAAAACGGGACTGTATTCGGTGCTTGGCTTTCAGATTTATTTATTTTTAAAGTTTGATGCGGAGTAAAACCGAGGGGGGGATGTTAAAAAAATTGGAGCTTTGGCTGTTTATCATTGTGGTCCTTAACTTTGCAGTTGTGGGGAGGGGGTAGAGATCGATTCTCTGAGTAAAACGGGATATTGGGGTTTCATGATGAATTCGATAAGCGATCGGGGAAAGCCGTTTCGGTATTCCTGGAGTGGCATCCGTGACCCGTGGCAGATACTTTTTGCAGATACTTTTAAGCTCAGTTTTTTCTTCCCAAGAATGAGTGCTGGGAAAATGGGATAGAATCATAAAAATGATTTTTTTAAAAAGTTGGGTCGAACTCTAAGGTCCAGCTTTCCAAAATAGTCCCCTCCCCATCACCACCACAATGGATGGAAATAGAAGGTGACAATGTATATTTGGGAGGCGGGGGGAGTGATTCTATTTTGCAAACCCGCGGGAGGTTTTAAGGCTCCCCCCCCCTCGCTCGGTCCCCTTTTCTTTTGAGTCCAAAAGTGCAATTGTTGAGTCCGGTTAATGGTGATTTAAGAAAACGGCAAGCTGGCCAGAGGGCCATAAATCCCATGTTTAATGCATGACTGTTTTCCCTTTGTGCATATGGTTAGGATGGCGCACGGGGAGGGAAAGGGGGGGCGGGTGTGTGTGTGGGGGTGATGTTTCCACATGTAAATCTTCGCCTGCTGCTGCAAAGCAAGCGAGCTACCTCCTGGGGGCTGCCTTGAAACAAAAGGGTTAATAACTTCGCCGGAGTTTCGTGCTCAGGAGGGGAGGGGGAAGTGAATAGGCGAAATGCTTCGATGCGCCTACGTGCGCTCGCAATCCCGTCGGAGCCACCTCGTTTCCAGATATTGCTTATTGCATCAATTTCTCGCGTTTTCACTCGCTGATTTGCGGCAAATAACTTCAGCGTTACTGCTTCCCCTCCCCCCTCTCCTTCAATGGTGGGGGGCTCTTTTAATTACCGGTAAAGTAAAGGAGGGGCGATCCCTTACTTTTTTCGGTAATTCTGTTCTAGCTTCTTATCACCCGGTAACAACATGACGCTCTACAATCCTAGTCAATTGTTTGGAAGGTAACTTTTTTTCGCGTGCGGATAAGGACAGTTCGGTTGCTCTCTGGCGCCACCCGGAGGACGCTGCCTGCACTGAGCTGTCGATGGGAAGAAAAAGGCATTTCCTATCTCGTCGTCTTCGGAGATTGAACCCTTTCATGGTTCAGGTCTTGCTCTTCCTGGTTTTTGCGGAGCTGGGTTAAACTGGCGTGGACGCACCTTGCCTTTAAATTCTGCCGGGATGCTAGCGGATGTCTCTGTGACTAAACTCTACAAGGGAGGGAGATCCTAATGCTTAAGCTTTTGAGTCTAAGCAAGTTTGTCCAGTGCACAGATAAGAAATGTCTAGCTTGGTCCCCTGTGTAAACCACTAACCTGTTTGTGTGTATGTTATTTACTTAATTATTTGTATTTATTTATTTATTTATTCGATTTGTATCCCACCCTCCCCACCTAGCAAAAATAAGAACTTTTTGTGGCACAGACCTATGCAAAGTTACTCCAGTCCAAGTCTATTGAAATCCTTGGGAATTAGACTGGGGTAACCTTATATAGGGTTGCACTGTAAGCCCCTTAGAGGCAAGTGCCATTTTCATCAAATGAAGGCTCTTGCTTATGGACTCTTTGTTCAGTTTAGTGTTGTATCCTGCTTTGTACAGTTATCCTCACAACAACCCTGTGAGGTAGGAAGGTGGGGAGTTTCTTGCTGAAAACCACCCAACTGAGCTCTGAGATCTGTTTCTCGTATCACAACTTTCTTATCTGCTGCATCAAAAGGATAATGTGCAATAAATATTGCAAGATCCCTCTCAGTCTTTTTAGTAATGTGGGGTAGAAGTGATTGGGCACAAAAATCTATTAAAACCTGCAGCAGAAACTCTGTCTTCCTCTTTATGATAGGAATCATCAGGGTGGCTGAATCTCAAATCAAGTTTCCTCGCTGTTTTGTGCACCGTTTCAGTTAGACTCCGGAGATGATTTTCTCCAGCGATGCATTTTCAGATATCAAGTGGATGGCTTTTAATTAGAAAAAATCCCATAAGAGTTTGCATGTGCGTGCACACAGAATCTTATGGTGTGTGAAAGAGGAATGTGTTTGTTGTACATGACTGTAAAGTGGTTGCAAGCCTTGTTCCAAAGCAAAATATCTAAAAAAAACCTAAAGCCACCTTTTTGCTTTCATTGGGTTAGTTGTAAGGAAATGGCATGTAAGCTTTTGATGCTGGTCTTTAAGGAGCCCCAAGACACACACACACCCACATCTGTTATTGTATAGATTCAGCTATGCATGCCAAGAAGGCGTTTTATCTCTTGGCTTTAGGGAAATAAACTTACATGCAAAATTAAAATCTGCAAAGCCAAAATTAAAATCTGCAAAGCCCCCCCCAACACAATATCATGTAGAGTTTTTTTGGGAAATGTTGCTGCTGACTTAGTGATTAATTAACAGATCAAAAAAAATAGCAGGTGGTCACTTGAGAACAATAATTGCATACTGAAAATTAGCATTTTCCACTGCAGAGGATTTAACTGCCCATTGTACTTGTGTAATAGCCATTAACCTACATTCTCCCCCCCCCTCCAAAAGGCAGTTTAGAACTTGAAAAGCCTGCAATTTTTTCCCCTTAAGCCTGTCGCTGCAGCTTCCACTTGAGAATTAGAGTAACAAAAACATATAAGGCATTGGCAATAAATAGTGTCACAGTTAGGCTAGGAGTAGTGCTTAGGGTGGGCTAACACTGCTTCACTGTTGGGAAGTTTCACACACAAACACCCAAAATTGCTGGTTTAAAGAGAATTGGCTGGCAGGAATGACAAAAATTACATTAAATCATTTTTTTGCTTCCAGAGAACCTTGTAGAATTGGTTTCAGGTGGGTAGCTGTGTTGATCTGCAGCAGAAGCTAGACTTGAGTCAGTAGCGCCTTAAAGACCAACAAGATCTCCAGGGTATAAGCTTTAGAGCCACATGGTACCCGACAAAGGGAACTTTGATTCTCAAAAGCCTGTACCCTGGAAATCTTGTTGGTCGTCATCCTTAAGGTACTACTTGGACTCCAGTCTTTCTTTCCTAGAAATGACTCTAGGTTGTAGATTCGGTGCCAGAGAAGAGAACTTCAGAGTTCCTCCAACAACTAGAACAAGTTTGCCACTGACCTTGCATCTGAAGCCAGCCCCGATCCACCTGTGTTCAGATTGACTGGCAGTGGGATGAACCATTTAAGCGAAGCCCCAAGAGGAGGGTGGGGGTGTGTGCCTCTCTTCCTCCCCCCTCGCACGGGCTCTCTCTCTCTCAATGCCAGTGAAACACTATATTGCCTGTAGGGACTGGGCCTTGTCGGCTCAGCCCGGCAGCGGGTGACGTTTTGACAGAGCTGCTGCTTTAACCTCTGCCTCCTCCTGCCTGCGGTGGGTGGTAAGTTGATGTCAAGCTTACAATTAGGACTCTCATGCAATTGACCTTGGCAGCGGGGTTTTGCGCTGTTTAGCCTGGTCTTAAACACTGGACTAGTGTTCAGTGTGGTCTGCGGCTGCCTTGTTGATAGGCGAGGGGTCTCTCTTGCTGGTGGATGTAATTGAGTGTGGAAGAAGAGACGGGTCCTGGGATAAGGTAGAAGCCAGTGGGCTCTCTCTCCCCTCCCAC